CTGGGGTGGTTGAGCCAGTCGATGGTTGTCCAATAACCGCAGCCCCATATATATTACCACCGATGACACTCCGGACTTGCACGTTCAGCTATTGAACCTTCTTCTTTACAACACCCATGTTCTGGAAACTGGGTTCCTTATTGGCGCTGTACCTTTTTTTTATTAGCATTATTATCACTCACCCAGAATCCCCAACTTGACATTTCCTACAACTATTTACTATAGTGAAAACAATATCCGGGGACGACGAACATCCAAATTACTAAAGGGCAAATTCCCCCAGGATGACGACGGCGAGAGGTGCCAAGCCTCCAGTCAGCGCCCGTCCCAGCCAGCCTTCCCCATACCCACCGATTTCGACCACCGCCTCATCCCGCGGTTTCGTCCCGTCTTTCTCCCCAGAGCACCAGCAGGACCAGACCCTGTGGCCAACTCCCTCCGCATCCACCCCCTTCCTACCGAACGATGATCCGGGTCTTGTTCTTGGGGTACCTGCGCCCATCATGATCCCTCCGGAGTCCGACGAGTCCCCCTTGGCCTCCGGCCTGACCCTGGGCCACGACGATATCGTTCTTCCCGAAGACCTCGACAACCACAGCCGGGCCAGCTCGCGTGATCCCGGCAGTGCCGTTACTGCCGGTGATCCGGGTACCTCGCACGAGTCGGGGATCGATGCCCACCGGGACGACGGCAGAGGCGACCCCGCACACAATCACGATCAACAGGGAGGCGAAAAACCAGCGTGGAGCGAAATGAAGACGAAAGCCGGCAAGGAGCGAAAGCGCCTACCCCTCGCTTGCATTGCTTGTCGAAGAAAAAAGATTCGATGCTCGGGCGAAAAGCCTGCGTGCAAGCACTGCTCGCGCTCTCGAATACCATGTGTTTACAAGGTCACTACCAGAAAGGCGGCGCCCCGGACGGACTACATGGCGATGCTGGATAAGCGCTTGAAGAGGATGGAGGACCGGGTCATCAAAACCATCCCCAAGGAAGAAACTAGGGATATGGGTGCCATTGGCCGGTCGGTGGTTCGACCGCCTCAACCCGGACAGACCAACAAGGCGCAGAAGAAGCGGACAGCGGAAGAGGCTTTTGCTGCGGAAATGGATGAGTGGGCTCGGGAGAGCCGCAATGGTCCGCAGGATACCTTTCCGATGCGCCGTGAGAGTAAACCAGGTGATGCGTCGGGCTTAATGAGTGCAGGTGCCGAGTTTTTACCGTCATTGGAGATCCAGGAGCACTTGGCAGAGGTGTTCTTCGATTGCGTCTACGGGCAATCCTACCTCCTCCTTCACAAGCCAAGCTTCATCCGAAGACTCAAGGCGAGAACCGTTCCTCCAGTTCTTATACTTGCCGTTTGCGCCGTTTCCGCTCGATTTTCAACCCATCCACAGATCAATTCCGAACCACCTTTCCTGCGTGGCGAAAACTGGGCCAATCCAGCAGCTGCTATAGCCCTGAGTCGCCATGATGAACCTAATATTACTATCCTGACTGTCTTCCTCCTTCTGGGTCTTCACGAGTTCGGTACATGTCATGGCGGGCGGAGTTGGTCATTCGGTGGCCAAGCACTGCGCATGGCGTATGCCCTGCAATTACATAGGGAGCTCGACTATGACCCTCTACTAGTCCAGAACAATGGCAACGGATCGCAGCTTAGTTTTACGGATCGGGAGATACGAAGGCGAACCATGTGGGCGTGTTTCTTGATGGACCGTTATAATTCATCCGGGAGTCAGCGTCCGCCGATAGGAAACGAGAAGTTCCTGCAAATACAGCTCCCTATAAAGGAGTCACATTTTCAGATGGAGATCCCGGGGCCCACGGAAGACTTGGACGGCAATGTTCTCAATCCAGTTCCAGACGATGTTGGTCAGCTATCTAATGCGAAGGAGAACATGGGTGTTTCAGCCTATATCATCCGTGCAGTTGTCATATGGGGCCGCATCGTTGATTATCTCAACCTCGGAGGAAAAAGAAAAGACACGCAGCCACTGTGGTCGCAGGAGTCTGGGTACATGCGCCTCAAGCGGCAGATTGAGGAGTTTTCCGCGTCTCTCCCTAGCCATCTCTTGTTCACTTACGAAAACCTTCAGATCCATGCAGCCGACCGAATCGCCAACCAGTTCATCTTTCTGCACATTATCATCCACCAGAACATGCTCTTCTTGAATCAATTCGCCATACCGCTATCACCGGGAGGACGACCTCCCCGTGACATGCCTAAGGCATTCCTGAGCAATGCCGGCCGAGCAGCAGTGGAAGCTGCTCATCATATTTCTATCCTCATCGACCGTGCATCAGCTTATCCTCTCACTGTCCCGTTCGCTGGATACTGCGCTTATTCGGCCAGCACTGTCCATATATGGGGCATATTCTCGAAAAACGCACAGTTGGAGGCGCGTTCCAAGGAAAATCTGCGCCATACATACCGTTACCTCAATAAGATGAAGAAGTATTGGGGAATGTTTCACTACATGGTAGAAAGTGCCAAGGACCGATACCGTCAATTTGCGGATGCGGCCATCAAAGGCACGGTGGTTACGCAGAATGGTGGGCAGATTGCGCCTATGTTCCAGTATGGTGACTGGTTCGACAAGTATCCCCATGGGATGTCGAGGTCACATTGGGAAGAACCCGATCCTCAAAAGGCAAAGAGCGACGATGGTGTCATGAGTCAACGGCCAGACCTTCAGAGCGTCGAGGAGTTCTTTGCCAGTCTTTCTCCTACACCACAGCCGAGCGCCCCACGTAGGCATTCGAAGAAGAGCAGCAAGGCTGACAGCGTGAGCGGGTTCGATGGACCGACTCCGCCGCAGTCAATGAATGAAATCGCCATGGACGGCGCTCCGGGCATGCTGGGAACCACCGGTACAGGATTCCCTCAGCCGGCCGTATTCAACCAAAACCGCGCAGGACAGCAGCCCTTCGCACAACCCGGCTTCGACTTTTCTATGCCCGCAGCAGATCAACTCCCGCAGCTGGATCGACAATTTGTCTACGGCTCCTTTGGCGACTTTGACCCGTCTGCATCCCTCGTCCCACCCGAGAATCCGGCGATGCCCGCTCCCGTGAACCGCCCCGAAGCTCCTCCTAATCAAGATCCCTCCACCATCTTTACCGGTCAATTAGACCCTAATGCCCCGTCCGGTGCAGGTGAATACTATCAACCCAGCGCCTGGTTCTTGCCCTTCAACCTCGACCCCGTGGGCGCCGGTGGAGGCCTTGATCCAAATTCACAGGCCGCCGGTTCTGGTAACCCTGTCGTGGGAGGTCCCGATCTGTCTGGGTTCGGAAACATACCAATGGGGGCATTTGACTTAGGACTGGGGGTGAACCGGGGTTCACAGGCATGAGCAATTGTAATATTTGTGTCTGCAGGTAGGAGGAAATATCATTTGATTTGGCTTTTAGTTTTCAGCGGGGTACATTCGGGCTTGGGGCGGACGGTCTGGTTTTGGAAAAGATTTTGGAGTTTATGAACGACCTTGGCTATGTGGTATATGCGACGCGACGCTTTTAGTCTGGTCTGGTCATGTCATGCCTTGATGCTGTGTATTTATATTATGGTTATATATTCAACAGGAATAAATATACCTCAATCAAGAATTTTTATTCACTTTCGTAGATAATTCGGTGTATCTAAATTAGAGTATGCCATATATCGGTTGGACACGGTTAAGAATCAACCACGAACAGATTCAATCTAGCCCACCAACCCCGCCATCTAAGCAAAAAGAACAAGAATAGTAAATCAAAAGAACAAAACAGATAGATAGGTAGAGGGAAACAAGCAAAAAATGCATTGTCGGGGAGTCGAACCCCGGCCACTCGCTTGGAAGGCGAGTATCATAACCGTTAGACTAACAATGCTTGGAAGAATGCATCATCCGTGAATCGAACACGGGCCTCATCGATGGCAACGATGAATTCTACCACTAGACCAATGATGCTTCCTTGGACAAAGCTGCCAGTTATTTAGTTTATACCCCACCATGCACCACCAGTGAAGTAGGATGCGGGATTTGCATGGGGTGGGGTGGTTTGAAGTTTAACCTGCATGTGTCGGAAGGAATTATATTTCATGTTGCATTATTTTAGGGTAAATTGAAGGTAGTGTATGGTTATTGAGAATAGTAAGTATGATTTTTAGTATGTATTCAGTCAATTATAATTGCGAAATCATCACATGTTTATTTACATTGTCTAGTCTAAGATGTAACTCATATGGTCGCCTTAGACGTATTTGGTCGACTTACATACAAGTACGTTGCGTTATACACGTTCTACCATCCAATAAGTCATTTCCATGTTTCAATCATACATACTCCCATTAAGCTCAGCATAGCAGAATATACTACTCTGTTCATTAGTTCAAGTGCCATACCATAGATCTGACATTAGTGCTTTGCGCATTGTGAGCTGTTGTAGGGAGTACATTTCAACTAGCCAGCATTGTTAGTCTAACGGTTATGATACTCGCCTTCCAAGCGAGTGGCCGGGGTTCGACTCCCCGACAATGCATTTTTTGTTCTTATATACTTTTTCCTTCAAGCTAAATGATGAGATGAAGTAGTATGCTATCTGGGTGGTAGTTCGTTGTTTTTGTATTTATCTAATGTTTCTTCGTCCAGGACTTGCATGTATTGCTTAATCGAGGACATGTCCAGCCAATAGGTTTAACATCCCTGGGAGTTGTTTATAGGGTGCTACTACACATAGTTGACTGTGAAATATATAGTTATGGTACTAGACTTGGCCTCGGGTGTGGTAAAATGCAAAACATATTCTCATGCTCTTCATAGTAATAATACTCAATGACGCTATAAAACAGAGCCAGCTTAATCAATCAATCGACAAATCAACCCATGCATGCTTGCACCATCCATATGATAATCGGCCATTGTACAACAAAATACAACCAATGCTGGCAGCAATATATCATATAGTTGCGCTATAAACCCCAGAAACAAACAAAGCTAGTTAACAAACAGATCCTTTTAATCCTCCCACTCCTCATCTAACTGATCTATCAGTCGATTTTCGGCATCCACGTCACTGCCTCGTCGGCCGAAACTGCCGCGGTGGTTGACGCTGTTACCGCGGGTGTGACCGTGGCCGAGAGTTGGGGAGCGTTTTAGGCGGAGGAGGCGGGCCAGGGAGGAGAAGAGGATAATGATCATGTCCTGTTTTAGAGGGGAAGAGAGAGGAGATGAGGTTAGCTTAGGGTTCTGTATAATGAATGTATTCCTGAAGAATAGCAAATGTGACAGTTGTATGTGTTCAGATAGATGTGTGAAGCAAGGAAAGATTTCTAGAATCAATCAATCGAGCTATTGACATATTTCCAGCTTATATGGACGTCTTTGCTAGGCCTGCACGAGCAATGACTGTATATACCGCGTTCAACACGGCTAAATGTCCAAAAGGCTAGATGTCCAAACGAGTGACTTCAAAGACAAGCAAGAAAGGCAAGCGTAAGGAAAGACGAATGGCAAGCACGCCTGATGTAATTGAGCTCCAGACCAGCCAAAGCAGATTCAATCCATCCTCGAAACAGGTAACCTTGCATTGCCAAACTCCTTGTACGGGGCCTGCTCGTGCCGCCGGGACCGTCGGAACGGGATTAACGCCAGTATACTTACTTTGATGAAGTCGAGCATTCCCGCCCAAAGACTATAGTTCGGGCACTGTCTCCAACCGCGCTGGTGCATAACAGTTCGTTGGTATGCGCAACCACCGACCAGGTACGCCGCCACGGCAATCAAGGCACTATGCTTGTCAGTGATTGGTCCTATATTAGGGTGTTTCTCACTTACATTACGCCGAAAACGCCGGCTGGCGAAAGACCCGGGTTATCCGGTGTGGGCGCGGTCGCGCCACAAGCGGCAGAGCTTCGAACCTCGAAAAAGTATGTGCACTGGTCCATGGTGCCGACAAAGGAGACTGTCGCTTGAGAGGCAGGGGTATCGCGCTCACAAAGGAACGACATGATGGTAGATTTGGTGCGGGCGGCATTTCCGATGTAGTCGCCGGCACAAGGGGAGCCATTGGTATAGTTCATAACCAGCTTTCGGCCGCGGAAGAAGGGGTCTGATGCTTGTTGACTGCACCGCGTCAGTTAGTGATTATGGTAAGTGGTATAGAAGAATAGTGTCACCGTACCCAATGGAGTAGACTTTACCCTCCCTCTCGTAGTAGGCGCTAACATTCCTCCACCTTGCGCGGTCCACTCCAACCACATCCTTGATATCTTCGACCACAGGCGCACAGATATTTAACGTAAAGTTGGCATTGTAATCGTGTCCTCTGGCGTGCCAACTCTCGTCTCGGGCGCCTTTGCGCGGTTTGTCCCCGTCTACTGGGGGCGGAGATAAGGAGATGGTGTTGAGATCGTAGAATAGGCCGGTCGTGGGAGAGCGAACGACGCAGGGAGAGAGGCCATCCTTGGGAGCAGAAGAATCAGAGGCAGCCTGAGAGACAAGCGGAGCAGCCAGGAGGAAGAGGAACCTCAGCAAGGAGGATGTGGGTGGCTTCATGGTGGGAAGATGATCTCCGGTGGAGGCAGCCGGGACGGTCGGCGATAACGGTTCTAAGCCGAGGAAGGGAACGAGGATGGATCAGGAAGCTGGAAGTAGGAACTGATCGGTAAGTTTGGGAAGGTCGAAGGAGAGCAAAGCAAAGGAGAGACCAAAGATAAAGAGAAGAAGAAGAAGCGAGAGAAAAGAGGGGAAGGACAAGGAGGAGCAGCAGATGAAGCAGGCGTCGTAATGCGCGGAGATGAAACGTCGCATTTCTTGCGGAGATTCCATCGAGAGCTTCTCACCGCCCGCATCGTCGGCTCCGCTTCTGCCAAAAGTTCCGCGGCTTCTTCTCCAGTTTCTCCTTAATCCCCATATCAAGATCCAGTATAGCCCGTCATGGCTTCCAAGAAGGACTCTAAGACAAAGGTTCGGGTTCAGCCGGTTCCAGAGAAACGTGGCTATGAATTCGGAGGACCGTAGGTGTTTAATGCTCTGTTACAATTGGCAATTGCATACTGACCCCACAGTCTCGGTGCGTTTGGGATAGTGTTTGGTCTGCCCGTGCTGGTTTACAGCTTCACCTTCCTGTGTAACGATGTCTCTGGCTGCCCGGCTCCTTCGCTACTACACCCCTCTACCGTGACGCTTGACCAATTGAAGGCAGAGGTTGGTTGGCCCAAGGGAGGGTTTGCGGACTTCTACGATACAAGCGTGACACTTTGGGTACTGGGCTACTATCTGCTTAGCTTGGTCATGTATGTGTTCCTGCCTGGCCAGGAGGTCGAGGGCACTGAATTGGCATGTGGAGGAAGATTGCCCTACAAGTTCAACGGTTGGTTTCTCCACCTGACTCGTATCTGCCTCTCTAACGCCCTGCAGCTTTTCTGTCGGCCGTCCTGATCCTCTCCGGCTGTGCGACGGGCACCTACGTCTATGGCGCGGACTTTGCTGTCTGGACCTTCCTCTGGGACAACTACCTGCAGGTCATCACCGCCAACCTAGTGATTTGCACTGTCATCGCCATCTTCGTCTATGCAAAGAGCTTCACCGTTCCGGCCCCCGGGCAGCCCAACCCCGAGCTCCGCCAGCTAGCTCCGGGTGGTCACACTGGTAACGCGTTGTATGATTTCTTCATTGGCAGAGAGCTGAATCCCCGGGTACGCCTGCCAATTCCCTTTGTCAGTGAAGCTTCGCGCACGATCGATATCAAGTCCTGGCTCGAAATGCGTCCCGGCTTGCTGGGGTGGATCATCCTGAACCTGTCGAACATTGCTCGCCAGTACCGCACCTACGGCTACATCACGGATTCGATCGTCATCTCGACTGCGTTCCAGGCGTTTTACGTTCTGGATGGCCTGTACATGGAGCCTGCCCTGCTGACTACAATGGACATCATTATGGACGGCTTCGGTTTCATGCTCTCGTTTGGCGACCTCGTCTGGGTGCCGTTTATCTACAACTTCCAGACCCGCTACCTGGCCGTCTTCCCGTACGAGCTGGGCTTCAATGGCATCCTGCTCGTTCTGGCCGTCACTGCCGTGGGCTACTCGATTTTCCGGGGCGCCAACAACCAGAAGAACCGTTTCCGCACCAACCCGAACGATCCCCGCGTCAAGCACCTCAAGTACATCCAGACGGCCAGCGGCTCCAAGCTGATCACGTCTGGCTGGTGGGGAAGCGCCCGCCACATCAACTACCTGGGCGACTGGGTCATGTCGTGGTCGTACTGTCTGCCTACGGGCATTGCCGGCTACGCTATTATCCAGAGCATCAACCCGGCCACCGGGGACCTGCAGAAGCAGGCCGTGCAGACCCCCGAGAGCCGGGGCTGGGGAATGATCTTCACGTACTTCTTCCTGGTGTACTTTGGCACGCTGCTGATCCACCGCGAGCAGCGCGACGAGGAGAAGTGCAAGCGCAAGTACGGAGCCGACTGGGACCGGTATACGTCGTTGGTCCGGAGCCGGATCATTCCTGGCATTTACTGAAATTATGGGTATAGACCGAACAAACGTTCTTAATGTATGATACTATTCGTCTGAATGAGTCACATATCGGACATGACATGTATTACCTAGACTGGACATCTTTATTCTTATTAATATCATCACGCTTTCTCTTCTTCCCTTTCTGATCCACCAACACTTCCAATCCCCATTCAACATCCCCATCGTTCGGCACCCACGGCACCAGCACCTTTTTGGCCTCCAGCATAGCACATTCCCGTGCCTTTCCCACAGACGTCTCAAGCGCAGCCCTCTTGAACTCCTTATACGACGATGCCCTAACCACATGCCTTCCATCTCCGCCCTCAGAACCATCACCATCCAACACCCCCCTCAACGCCCCCCACATCTTCGCCCTCGACAGCGCCGACGCGCCCTTCCCCACCGGCACCGACGCCTTATACCCCTGCTTCATCCCCCCAATGATCGTCTCATACAACCCGGTCCACGAACCACTCAACTTCGGCAGCTGCTTTGCCCCATTCTCCGCCGCATAGCGATCCACCCCACCACCACTACCACTGTTACTCCCCCCAAGCACCGGCGCAGCCGTCCAAACAGCCGAGATATTCCCGGGCTTACACTTCATCCCAGCCTCCTTACTCTTCGGTTTCCCAAACGCCCACAACTCCTCCACCACCTCCATATCAACAGAGAGAACCCGGAACGGATGATACCCATACCCATACCCGTACTCATCCCCTCCTCCCTCTTGAAACCTCGATACCAAAGGCCCCATCCTCCCCTCCACCCCCCAGGCCCTCACACACCCCGTCTCACTCACCTCCTCACGGGGCATCACCACCCCCGCCAGATACGCATTCTCCGTAATAGCCACTAGCAAACTCATCCCCCTCGAGAGGAGAGACGACACCTGTCGCAGGGCAAGTTTGTCCGAGCAGGACTTGCTTTTCGTGGACGGGGCGTCTGCGCGCGCGGGCTTGCGGCGGACAATGCCTAGCTGGGAGAAGTTGGCCCGGCCGGAGAGGAGGCCTGCTTCTTCTTCTTCTGAGGGGGTGATTTCCCATGGTGTCGGGTCGTCTTGCGCTGCCATGGTGAGTTCCATGCTGGCGTCGCCGCAGGGGGCGGTTGTGCAGTAGAGGTAGATTTTTAGGGAGGGGTGGAGTTCGAAGGGGGGTTCTTTGTTGTTGGTGTTCTTGTTTCGGGATTGTTGGCGCCGGCGGATGAAGGGGGAGGGATTGGATGTAGATGAAGATTGTTGATGTTCATGGTCTATCAATGCGCGAATCTCACTCAACAGCCAGTAATTGAATGCGCGGAGGGCCAGGATCTCGGCGTGCCAGTCGTGGAGGACGAGACCGGTGCTGGATGCGAGTTGTGTGGTAGGGAGGCATTTTGCGCCGGAGCTGGATGATTTAGTATTTACTTGTAAATAATGTGTTTGTTGTATGGTTATATAGGGTAGGTAGTGGTAGGTGAACATACGTAATAGCCACACAGGTCAATTCTTCCTCCGCTGTATCACCATTATCTACACCAACATATTGTAAGCATACTACACAACAATGCCTAATCATAAAATCCAGCAGAGAAAGAATATACAAACCCCTCACAACCACAACCCCACACATAGGAATCCACTCCCTCGTCCCATCATCCCTCAAAATAGGTTTACTGCGTGCGGGCAAAGCATCAAAGTGCGCGTGCACAACTCTTGCAATCCTCTCTGCAAGTGCATCATCCCTAGAATCCTTTCCTTTTTGTTGTTGTTCCATTATGCTATATATATATCGTCTAGCTACGCATGCTGTAGTTTGTGCATGTCCCACTTCTATATCAAGTGGGCGGGCGTCACGTGACTTATCATCATCAATTATTCTTATCCATCTCATCTCCAACATCTAACTTATCCACCGCATTCCAACTACCTTCAACTCAAACCACACTCCACTCCACCACAACCACAACCAAACCAAAACCAAACCAAAACCAAAGGGAAAAAAGATAATCAAAATGGCCGACAAACTCCGCACGATCCAAAACCTCGAGGCGATGCAAGCGCGGTACATCGGTACTGGCCACGCGGACACGACGAAATACGAATGGGTATCGAACATTGTCCGGGATAGCTACGCCTCGTATATTGGTCATCCGCCTATGTTGTCGTATATGGCGTTGGGAATGGGCGAGTCGAAGGAGAAGGTTCGCGCGGCGATGATTGAGAAGATGGTTAGAGGGGCGGGGAATCCGCCGGAGGTTGGTTCATTCTTTCTATTTCTTTCTTGTTTGGGGTTTGGGTTTGGGGATAGGGCTGATGATATGGTGCTTAGACGCAGGAATAAACTACTATTACTACTGCTTAGGGGATGATTGGTGGTGGGGTTTGAGGAATGGGTGAGATGATATGAGTTGAAGGAGTCGAGTGTTTGATGATGATGGGATATTGTGGAGGGGGATAGATGAGTGTTGGTGGGATATGTGCTGTCGCGTTTGTATCATGCAGGTACTTGCATACTACTGGAGTTCAATGGTGGGTTAATGGCGTTGGCGTGGTGGTTTCATGCATTACATTACATACTAAGGATATGGACTAAAACAAATCGATTATCATGTACAACGCTACGCTAATATACAATCACATTACATGCTAATATCTGCTTTGTCATTTCCGCCCCCCTGCGCCGCTGCCAACCGCGTATTCTCATTCTGCAATGACCCGATCAAATCCAGCCATTGCTTGCGCTCTCCGCGCAGTCGGTGCACCTCCTTCTTGAGCACCTCTACCTCGCGGCGCAACGCCTCTGTCTCTGCCCGCGAGCGATGCTTCTCCTGCTTGTCTGCGTGCTTCTGCTGCCGCGCCTCGATCTTCGATGCTTCCTTGACCTGGTCTTTCTCGATCTTGCCGAGCTGTTTCAGCAGCTTGGACTCGTCGTGGAACAGCCCCGACGCAACCTTGTGCATCTTCGCCGTTTCGTGGTCCGGATTCTCGGCATGACGGCTCTTGCTTGACGTTTGGCCTTTGTGCACGCTGCTTGCTGGGCTGCTGCT